TTATTTTTATATGTTGGAATGTGTTTGTGGACGTTTCTAATCGTTGGGATGATTTGGAGCCATTAGGGATAATTTTTCTACAAAATAAAACTACCCAGGACAGGGAGTATCAGTACTCCTTAAATGAGTATTGGTACTTCCTTTATAATATTTAAATAAACTAGTCGTTACTAGCCGTTGGGCTTGACCAGTATCAATACTATGATACTATGATCATGGTATCGATACTACTATGTAAAGTATTATCAATACTCCTTTGAGTATTATCAATACTCCTTTGAGTATCAATACCTATTTTGTATTCTGGAATTTAAGCTATTTGAAAAACACTGTTAGTATCGATACTACCTTGAGAGTATCGATACTTGTCTTACCTTTGGTATTGATATTGTTCATACAATATCAATACTGTAAGAACAATATCGGTACTACATACCCAGAAAAGTATTTTTGTGCTCAAATTCTATTTTAATGGACTTTGAATTATTTTTGAAAACTTTTGAAAACTTTCAACAAATTCAATTCAAGTCCAAAAATATTTTGCCTTAAATTGTTATATCAAAACATTATAAAACATGGTTCAACAATTTCCCTCTTTTTGATATAACAAAACATTTGAAAAATTATTTTTGGCAAAACTCCCATTAATAAAACATTTTATGAAAAAGAGAAATATTTGGAAAAGATTAAAGCTCCACATTTTTCATTGAGAAAAATTGATTTTTTTCAAACCCATATTTCTCCCCCTTATTGTTATATAAAAATAATTCAACTTTAAAGTTTAAAAATAACAATGGAGAGTAAGTGGTAAATTTTAACATAAACTCGTTTGAAAAATCAAAAGCTCCCCCCTCAAAGAGTGCATTTCAAACAAAAAATTTGACTTTAAAAATTTGACACTTAAAAGACATTGAATTTCAACAATGATGAATAAACATGTTAGTAGCACAAGAAATTCAATATATCCACGTCTAATATACTTTATGCAATACTAAATGTTGTATTTTAAGTGCATGTGCATAAAGCTATCCAAAAATGTTATGCATTTAAAAAAATTGATATCAAATGTTAGAGAGATATCATTTACAATAAATCATATGCATAAACATTTAAATTAAGGTCAAAAATTAAAAATTTGTAGAAACAAAGCATTAAAACTAATTTTGACCAAAATTCATTATGATGAACAAACATTTATGAAAAATCGTTAAAACTTTAGAAAATTTTCATCACAATTATTTTTAACATTTATGAGATAGAAAACATAAAATTATTTAAAATCAAAACTCATACATGCTTAAACTAAATGAGCAACCAATTAATCAAAACAAAAGCATTAAGCTTAGAGGTTACCCATTCATTTTCAAGTGTGGCTAGAGCATCTTAATTTCTTCACTTTGTCATAATTGCTCCCATACACCTACAAGAGACATTTATTTGGATTTTGGTATCCAATTTACTTTGGATCCTTGTACGTTACTTTCAATGCCCCTTGTTCCCTTAGGAATCCATACTTGTTTAATTTTAAAACGTTTTCCTTTCTTTAAAGGACAAGTACGTTCCTTGTGACCATGATAATGACAATGTGAGCATTTTGCCATTTTGAAATTAGATCAATTATTTAAAATGTTTTCCTATTCTTTTGTTAAGCATTCAAGCTTAACTTTTAAATCAAAGTATTATTTTTTAAAATTTTCATTTTTCATTTTTGAAAGCTCTAAATCATTTTTCAAAATTTCATTTTGTTTTTCAAAATCAACTTTTGTTTTAAAAAGAAAATCGTTTTCAACTTTAAATTTTTGAAATCATTTTTTTATATTTAGAGTTCATGGTCTTAAACTCCAAAAATAATTTATCGTATGCATCTTGTAACTCATTAAAAGAATATGAATTAGATTCACTAGAGTTAGAAGATACCTTCACTAGAGTTAGAAGATACCTCAAGCTCTTCAAGAGCTATTAAGCACACCACCTTTGTTGGTTATTCTTTCTTGTTTCAATATATATCTTTGAGCTTATTCCAAAGCTCCTTGGTATTTGAACAAGAAGAAACTCCTTCATAGACATCGGTACCAAAAGTACAAAACATTGTGTGCATGGTCTTATCATTTTGTTGAGTTTTCTTCTGTTCTTGGGCACTCAACTCCTTCGTCTTCTTCTTTGGAGAAGAGTATCCGTTCTCGATCATCTCCCATGCATCAAGATCATTAGATTGGATGAATATCTTCATTAATTTCTTCCAATGACAATAGTTGGCTCTATTGAAGTATGGAGGCTTGTCGATCGGTTGAGAGTCTTCCGTGTGAAAAGAGCCGGAGGTGGAAGCTATCTTCTCGGTTGTGTCAGAAATGGAGAGAGCTTCTTCAAGGATCGTCTCAAGGTTGTTAGACCTTCTAATTTGTTAAGCTTTGATACCAATTGTTGGGATTATTCGATGAAGCTCAATCGATCAACCAAATGATTTACCAAGAGGGGTCAAATGGTTTTTGAGTTTAGAGAGTAAGGAGATTAAAAAGATAGAAAATTGGCATAAGGATTTATAGTGGTTGAACTTTTCAACTAAGTCTACTTCCACTACCTTAGCTCCTCACTAAGGATTTCCTAACAAATTCACTAATTTGTTCTTTCTTTTTCAAGGACAAAGAGATAACCTTTACAAACTCCCTAGCTTTTCAAAGGCTAAACTAGAACCACTCCCCTTTACAAAATGAATAAAAAGAAGTAAACAAGAAAACCTCTAAAATGTAGGTGTTTAAGCTCACAAAAACACTACTATTTACAAGAGAAATGAAAATAAGAATAAAAAAGCTCTTCTCTTTTGTTTGATTTCTTGGATACATGTTCTAACCCTTCTTCAAGTACCCTCAACTTATTTTTATATGTTGGAATGTGGTTGTGGTCGTTTCTATCCGTTGGGGATGATTTGGAGCCGTTGGAGATAATTTTTCTGCAAAATAAAACTGCACAGGACAAGGAGTATCGATATTTCCTTTATAATATTTAAATAAACTACTTGTTATTAGCCGTTGGGCTTGACCAATATCAATACTATGATTATGGTATCAATATTATGATCATGGTATCAATATTACTGTGTAAAGTAGTATTGATACTCCTTTGAGTATCGGTACCTATTTTGCATTATGGAATTTGAGCTATTTGAAAAACACTGGTAGTATCGATATTACCTTAAGAGTATCGATACTTCTCTTACCTTTGATATCGATACCATATGAACAATATTAGTGTTGTTCATGTAGTATCGATACTGTAAGAACAGTATCGGTACTACGTACCCATAAAAGCATTTTTGTGCTTAAATTCTATTTTAGTGAACTTTGAATTATTTTTGAAAACTTTGAACAAATTCAATTCAAGTCCAAAAATATTTTTCCTTAAATTATTATATCAAAATATTATAAAATATGGTTCAACAGCCACCAATAGTATGGAATAAAGTAAATGCTTGAGTTGTATTACTTAAAAGAATGTAATGGATGGAATGCATACAAATGAGGTGGGGAGCCTCTATGTATAATTGAGTCTTCATGTAATGAATGACCTTGATTGATTTATATCTACGACTAAGATGAGACAAAAATCCATAATATAAGAAATTTGCATCCATTCCTATCTAATTACATCAATTAGTTTAATTCTTTTCCTATATTGAAGATAACAACGAATATGGAAAGATCCCCTATAATCTTCCTTGATATGGTGTCACCTACCTTTTCTACAAGATTAAAGTGAACGAACTCTCTAGCATTCTTCAAGAATTAGGTCAAGTCATATGATCTAAACAAGTCCAATACTTCGCAATGACCTCAATGAACCTCGTTGACGATTATTAACGCACATGTCATGATCATTCCGAGCCGATTATCAAATCACGACTCATGACATTTGTAAGAAAAGATTATTGTAATAAAATAAAGTGATTATTAATTCAAAATATTTCAAAATCTCACACGTTTTAATACCAAATTAACATGTAAATAATTTTTTTTTTCTATTTTTGGCCAAAAAAGATGTTTGGAAAAAAGCAAGTCAACAGCAGAAGAAAGTAGGGCTAATTTGGTCAAGTGACTAAATGTTTAAAATTCCAAACAGCTTTTTATGAGAAAGAAAAAGGAGAAAACAGGGGTCGGTCAAGTCTCAATCTTGGGGGCGCTAAGTTGCCTTTGCAATTTGCAATTTGCAAATCAAACCAAACATTTATTTTTAAAAATTCAATCCTTTCCATTTGTTTTCTTCTTCTTTTTAATTAGTTTTTGGATAAATTAAGTATTTAGTCAATAAAATATTATTTTTATTTTATCTTAGTCATCTTATTTTTTTCAAAAGTATCAATGCGTTATATTTTAGTTTCATTTTAAGTTATCAATCATTAAAAAATTAATGATGATATTGACATGATACCATAAGATAATATCATATTATTATTAAAAAAATAAAAAAAATCAAATCAACAGTTATATTAATTTTTTAATGACGAATAATAAAAAAAACAAAAACATAATACATCATCCGTCCTTTAATTCTTGTCTCATGTTGATTAAACAAATAGTTTTAAGAGATAAATTTAACCACATATTAAACTGTATAAAATGAGAGAAATGACAATTATTCCTAAAAATGATTCATAAATTTAACATATTTCTTTTTATAGGTGTAAAAATGGAGCAAATAAGAGTAAAAAATGGAAATATAAGGATTGTTATTTGTTGATTTTTCTAATAAACTATTTTAAATGTGAAAATTTAAAATTCTAAACAGATAAATTTAGTGAGACGAAGAGAGTATTAGCAATATAGAAAAAAATTAAGTGATCAAAATGAAATAAAATTAATAATTGATGACTAAATATGTTATTTACCCTACTTTTTATTCATTACCAAAACTATAAAATAAAAAGAATCCCTGTTTTACATGGCCCCTGGTTTTGCTCTCTCTCCACCCCTTATATACCACCTTTGCACCTTATTTCCTTAACAGTTGAACAATCACTCGCCATTGATATTTTCCCCTTTTCTTCTGTCTTTGCCAGTAACAAACCTTATCTTCTCGATTCAAACGAACTTTTTTTTTATTTCGGCTGGTTCCTTCGTTCAGGATTTGTTTTGCATGAAAAACATTGTTTTCCGATAAGGAAAACGAAAGACAGGAGCTTTAGATGATGGTGGATGCAGGCGGATGTGCGGAGCAAGGCAAAAACATTATGACGGCGGCGAAGCATGTAAACAACAGGGTCAGGTACGCCAAGAAGACAATCAAGAAGAACAACAGATCATCGTCGTGTAAGAAGATGAGAAGAGAGGTCGTGTTTCCACGGGTACCGGAAGTTCTGCAACAACTCTTTGTTTCCTGTAGAGAAATCTTCAAAGGCCCTGCCAATGTTCCTCCTGCTTCTGATGTAGGCAAGCTCTGCAATATTCTAGGTATTTTCATCACCAAAACTCAACCGTTATATATAGTGAAGAAATTTCCAATTTTGTCTGATGGTAACGTATGGATCTATATATATAGTGAAGAAATTTCCAATTCTGTCTGATGGTAACGTATGGATCGATGGTTGATACATGCATGGCATTAAATAAATAGATCTTTTGATTGTCTTAGCTGAATTTAAATATAGAAATTTGGAAATTGATTTCACTTTTAGCAACTGCACGAAAGTGGTTGTGTTTGTGCATTACACGTTTTTGTTGTCGGTCGTGTCTTTTCATGTTTTATATATATATATATGGGTTAAGATAGTATAAACTCTTTTAGTTTACACATATTTAATATTATTAGAGACTAAAAATAGATGACTAAGATTAAAAAGTAGAAATTAAGAAGATATTCCGTGGTAAAAAATAATAATGAGTCAATCTAATTCATTCACCTATTCAACTATCTTGTGTAAAATTAAAAAAATTTACATTACGTAAGTGGGTTGATATAGAATGGGTTTTGTTATTTCTATGTGCTGAAACTGGTTTTGAGTCATTAAATTTGTGTTAACTTAATGAATGATGTAGATAAGATGAAGGCAGAAGATGTTGGGCTTAGCAAAAGTCTGCACTTCTTCAAGGCAAGGGGTGCGGTCAAAGGGACTCCAAGAGTCACCTATACTACCATTTACCAGTGTGATGAGTTCTCGGTAAGACATCATTTTGCCACCTCTAATTTTAAAATCGAGATATTTAAATTATGATTGTGATTATGTGTTTGATTGCATTATAGATATATCAGATATTATTGCAGTTATTATAAATATCACAAGCCTACAATAATAATTTCAGACAGTATTGTTAACTTTATATAGCGGCTGTCATTCTCATAATAGACTGTTATTTAAGTCCCTACTTAGCATTAGCTTATGTAGCAGTCCAATCAAGGGATAGATAAGATTTTATGACAAAGATCGAACTTAAAATTCCGGAAGATGAATGAATTTATAAATGTTTAGGAGGAATGAAAATTTAAAATTTTGCGACCGCCCCACCAACCTTTTAGTCCATCCCTGATAAAATCCGTAGCTTAACTCGATTGGTTTATTCGATAAGTTTATTGTACCAATGCTTGAACAAGAAACAATCATCATTCATACTTGGATTTCTGTTGTGCAGTTGTGCATTTTCTTTCTTCCGGAAATGGCGGTCATCCCGCTGCATAACCATCCTGGGATGACTGTTTTCAGCAAGCTTTTACTCGGAACAATGCATATAAAATCATACGATTGGGTTGATCCGGGCGATACGAATGACACAATCCCATGCTCCCAATGTAAGATTTCGGGAATTCATTCTTGATCTTCAATATGACTATCATTCAAGTTTGTTTTCGTTCTTCTTCAGTGAGATTGGCAAGGTTGAAAGCTAACGATGTCTACACCGCGCCGTGCGACACGTCGGTGTTGTATCCTACGAGCGGAGGCAATATCCATGAATTCACGGCCATAACACCATGCGCGGTGCTCGATGTTATCGGCCCTCCGTATTCCAAAGAAGACGGCCGCGATTGCTCCTATTACAAAGATTTTCCCCGCATGGATCATGCAGATGGAGAAAGAAGAGGAGTGAGTGAAGAAGAGGGAGAAGGTTATGGATGGTTGGAAGAAATTGAAGTGCCAGACGGTGCAGAGATGGATAGAATTGAGTATTTGGGTCCTCAGATTATACAATCACCACTATTTAGCTTTATAAATATCTTGTAGATAGTGGGAAAAATATCAAGGATTTTTATACAATCACCACTGTTCATTTGATAAACTATACATTTTTTTATTGTTTTCATACTTTTACATACGAAATTTATGTTCAAATTTATTAGTTTAGTTTGTGTTTATCAATGAATATCAACTTTATTAGGTTTCAAAAGACTCAAAACGTGGCTGGTATAGTCTTGGATAGCTTGGTTCGTGTTATTTTTTTTTATTCGACTCGTGGTTCGTGACATTAACATTTTTATTTTACTTAAAAAAGTATGTCACTAAATGAAAAAAAGAAAGAAAATGTATTGCAATGGTAATTTATGTCGCGGCTTCTGTATCATTCATTTTTATAGTGTAATTTACGTGTTTAATATTTAAATTATCAGTTTTGATCTATTTTAATATATAAACTTTTAATCTTTTAAAATAGTATTTGATGTTTAATTTTTATTATGTTTTAGTATATTACTATTAAAAATTTAACAAGTGATTTACAAGTGGTATCTTTTTTATGGGTAAATTACATCATTCATCACTTAATTATCTTCTCACTCCTATTTTAGTCACTAAAATTATATTTTTAATTAATTTATTTAACTTTTAAATTACTCCTAATTTAATCACTCTAACTTTTAAATTTATTTTTAATTATATATTAATAAAATAATACTAAAAAAATTCAAGTCACAAAAATTATTAATAAAATAAATTAAAGTGATTAAAATATGAATAATTTAAAAGTTGAGTAGTTAAATTGAATTTTTTTAAATTTTATAAATAATTGACCTACACACTCTTTTGCGGCTAAATCTCTTAAGTAGATTTTTTGTATATATAAATACTCAAACTCAAATTTTACTTAAGTGAAATCAAATTACTTACCACTTGAACTAACTCCGTTCATCTTTCCCTTGACTTCGGCCAAAGTATCGTCCCATATTCATTTGGTCATATTCGTTTTTATATCAATAAATTTATACATTTACAATGGTGTTTACAACATATAATATAATTGATCAACTGATGAAAAGAATCGCATATAATATTTTAATGATATTTATTTTTCTTAAATAATTTATTCGTAGTTTCATTACTCTCATTAGTAGGACTCGAGGACTCCATTTAGACTCGATCAGAGTCAGTGTGTTTTGGACGGCGAGGGAAAATTATCCATACGGGGTCTGTGGCCGACCTTGCTTTCAGTTTCCTCCTTATTTCATTTTTATTTCTTTAAATTTAAGCGCATAAGTTTATTTTAATTCATTGTAATCCCATTTTGTTTCTATTTAGTCACTTTTTGCTTATTTTTTTGGCCCTTAATTTTATCTTTTACTTTTTTATCTTGCTCCTCATTTTTGTGTTTGTTAATTTAGTCCTTGTTTCCAATATTATTTAATTTTTTGTTCATTTAATTTGTGCCCTTTTACCTTCTGTATTAACTTATTAAAACCTTGAATTGTATACATTTTTAGTTTAGTCTCTTTTATGTATGTTTGATTTAATCTTGAATATGTTTATTGGGGCCTTTAATTCTGTTGTTGTTGCATTTTCATCCTTGTATTTAGTCTAGATTTGTACATTAGGGATGTATGCTTGCTGCTAGATCATTTCAATCCTAAAACAACAGGGAATTACCCTTATTTATGCGCTTTAGATTAAGTTTAGATTTATTTTATTTAGTCCATCAATCAGTTCAACTAGGACAATAATTTAAAATAATCTCCACATTTTTAGTGTTATTTTAATTATTCGGTTCATAATTAAAAGTTTAAAATTAATATAATAGGTTAAATTAACTCACCTAGCGTTTAATTTAGTTAATAAGGTCATTAATAATTATGAGAGTATTTAATTATTTAGGAAATAGGAAAAATATAATAATTTGACAATTTATTTTGAAATAAGAAGAATATATAAAAATAAATTATATGAGACGGAGATATCTCTATTTTTATCAAACGTGATTTACCTGATCGTTTAATAGATTTACTTTACTAAATTCTTTAATAATTCAAAATAGCTTGTTACTGTAAAACCCAAATCCCACGGATTCAAGTGTGACACGGATTATTGAAATGACTAACCATTTTTCTGAAACCATACTAAACTTTTTAAAAACATTTACACCACGTATAAAAATATGACACTTTACAAAAGTGAGGCCCCAAATTATGAAAAAACGATACCTAAATAAATAAATAAATGAAATATTACAAGCTGACTCATTTTCAAATCACAACCTTTACATGCCCACTACGTCGTCATCAATGTACTGTGGTTTTTCATTGAGACTCCTCCGATGATATCTTTGTCCCATCGCATTTTACGTAACATATAACTTGCGAACGAGAACACATTTCCGAAGCTAAGCTCACAAGCCTCGCGTCACACGATACCTCTACTATACTACATGCATTCATAATATGAGTATGCTAGTTGGTATAATCATGGAAAAATAAAATGCATCAAGCATACAATCACAACAAAAGCATTGATGGGTATATTGGTTTACATAGTATTGTAGCAATGCTAAAGAACAACTAAAGTGTCTTAGCACTGATACTAAAGTTCCTTAGCACTGATACTAAAGTTCCTTAGCACTGAGATATATCCATATATTTTTCATATAAATTAGACGATCGTCATACATACAAGTAACTTGGATGTTCTCATCATTTCTCGAGTGTCAAACATAGGCATAAATCTTATGGAATCTTACCTTATAAGGTTCTTATGGATATCACATAGATCAATACATTATCGTCACTATGGTATGAGTCTCATACTTCCCTTAGTTCGCAAGTAAGGGCTTAGCCATGAACTTATATCGAGTCTCTAACCTCAATATCATACATATCACAATATAATCATTTTTTTTATTAACATCGAGTCTTCATTATCAAGTTATCGCCTTAGAGATAATCACCTCATCTCACATCATTAATCATCCCAATACTAATCATTTGAATTATTATTCGGGTATTATTATTCTTCAATTACAATATTTCTAGAGTCTTCACTTGAGACTCATAGCATTAGTCACTGACTTCGCAATTCTAACTCTCACTAGCATAGATTATTTCATTCACTTAGGCCTATAAGGGCAATTTATAAAATCTGACCCCTAAGGGCATTATAGTAATTCACCCCACTCACAAGTATACCAGATGTTTAAGACTTATGACAAGAGTGTTTAATTATTAGAGTCTTAACACCATTTTCATATGCTCTTAGACTTTTCGTATCACTTATTATAATCAAGGACATTTTGATCATTTTACCAATTCAAGGGTATTCCATGCTTTCTCTCAAGTTTAACAAGCAATCAAAAACGTCTTACATCATTTCCTAGAGTCTTATGCTTTCAGAGGAATTTTCCGGCCCTTATAAGACATTATTCACAATTAGGAGTAATTTGACAATTTCATCCCTCTAAAGGTATTTTAGTAGTTTCTCACATTCTCAAGTTACATGTTAATCTCAATCGTTATTAAACTCCTAACTCTTGAGTTTATTCAATATCTCAAAATCCAATAAACAATCATCATCGATGGTATCGATACCTATATCGATACCTTTATATAGGTATCGATACCTACCTTAGGGTATCGATACTCTCATTGAGTATTGATACTAAAAATACCCTAAAAGACCCCCAAAATACCCTTAGTATCGATGCCATACATGTAGTATCGATACTCCCTTGAGTATCAATACCAAAATTATCTTCGAATTGGCCCAAAAATCTAGGTTAAGAATCTTACATCTAGATTTTTAGATAAAGAAAGGTGAAATCTTATTCTTTTGTTCTTGCTTGAGTGGAGTGAAAGAGAAAAAGAAAAAGAATGAAATGAAATGGAAGAAGAGTTGAGAAAAAAATGAGGAAAAGGTGGTCTTCATAATACCCCTAAAAGCCTATGTAAAATCAGCTAAATATCCTCTCAATCTGCCATGATTTTCTTCAATGGGGAAATTGCACTCTATGTCCCTCTACTTTCTAAGCTTAAAAATCTCAATTTTTAAAACTCTGTTGAAGCTAATTTCTGACTCAATTGAACTCAAATTCGAACGGGGGACCTCCATGCTAGAATAAATCTATTAAATAAATTCTTAAGTCAACACTCGCTTGCCCATTGATCTTTGTTGAGAACCAATCCATTTTGGTTTTATTATGAAGAACCCGATAGTATTAAACAACTTGCAATGCTTGTTGCAATTGGAAGCTAATGGAAAGTATTTTATTACTTAAAAAAATAACCTCACTCCAAAAAATGATTGACGATGATTCCATTTTTACTCATTTTAAAATCCGTCAGGCTTAAAAACTATTTCCAACATCAATAATTTGCATACATATGACCTTAGGCTCAAGGTTTTAATTAATGTACTGTTGACACTATTTTTTTATCTGAAATAAAAATAGTACGACTTTTTGAAAATGATAAGAGTCGCTGCCAATCTATTTAGGTGTGATTGGATCTCCAAAAATGCTTAGATCTACAAAAATCAAAATTGGGCTCAGGGATACGATTATGTTTGAGAAAAGATTAACACCATCACAATGCCCGTAAAAATGACGCTTACTTGGTCAAGAATATTTTGTTTCGGTTTATGCATGCGGTTGATGTACATTTAGATTAATAAAAAAACTTTTAAATTCTCAAAAATAATTTTTGAATTACCTAACAACTAAGAGAATCAGAATTATACTCGAAAATCTAAAATATTCACAAATTAATCTATATAAAATTTTGAAGAAGTCTTTCATGGGTAATTACGTGCATTTCCCAACGTCTAGAAGAATATTGAAATTCAATCTCATTCAAAAAGACTCCTCGATTTTCATGAATCTGGCTCAAAACTCGAAATTTACAACTCCTTAAAACACCTTAGGATTTTCTAACGTCTAAAAACATTTGGAAGTGTTCCTCAAAGTCTGAAAAATCCCATGAAATTCATGATGTAATTTTTGTAAAAAGTCAAAGACATGTTCTCTCATTAAATAACCTTGAAATCCTCAAATGTCTAGAAGGATATCTAAAATCCAATTTATTCACTAACCAGTCTAGATTCTAAGAGCTAATATTATCTAATCCTAA